CCCCACCCCCAGAAAATCAGTATGGTCAACATAACTTTATTGTCTTTAAAAACTGATCTTAGAGTAACAATTCCTTCTGCTTTGATACCTTACATTTTATTAGGAAAATATATGCCACTACAGAAGTTTATGATGCTTTCTTTACCTTTTTTATCATCTGGAAGCAATATATGTCCACCTGCCAGTCTGCTGTGAAGATAATCAATTCAGCAGCACCTAGGGGAAAAAAAAAAAAAAAGAGACCAAAAAAATAAAGACACCTCCTTCTCATTTGCCAAAACTTCAGAGACTTCTAGAAGGCAGTTTACACTTTCTTATGTTTTCCAGCACAATCAGAAGTCAAAAGAAATTTCAGTACTTTTTAGATTAATGAAAAAGTGGTGAACACCATTCTGAGCATCCTACCTTTTTCTCTCCAGAAACACGGAACATTGCACACTGCACTTAGTATAAAGCACTGAATTTTTCAGATTATCTGAAAAAATGTCACAAACTACACATTTGTGTGAGGATAAAGAGGAAATTGTATTCTCTTGAACCTATGAGAGAAGCAGCTGATGACTCTGGTTTTAAAATTGTGGCTTCAAGTGAAATTGTTAGCTGATATTCAAGTGGTATAATTCCCATTAGAGGAATTCCAGCACTTTTGAAATTTGAAAGTCAGTTCAGCTACTTGATTATATGAGCAATGATACTGACATTAAACTTAAAAGCATCTAGTTTTGAAAATATCCCCTGGTAACAGCTCTAATGGGACCACCTTCATTTACAGGAGAGAAATCTCAGTTATGCATTTCTGCAGCATGATAACACTTTTACAGTTACAGAAACAGAAGAATCTCTGTTTTTGGAAGATCTTTACCCCACCACTGATCAGTGGAGGAATTTTTTTGTCTGTAATTCTTATTACCTTTTCTAACTTGGCGTAGTTAAAACCCCATTATTTTAAAATTTTATTTCCAGAAATCATACAACCTCATAAAAACATTTGCTGTAAGAATTCATCATCATTCTTTCCTCTGTTTAGGTTCCTCCCATTCCCTCCAAATTATATCCAAATGATATTTCCTTCAAGGCAGAATGCCCAGAATTGCATTCAACATTTCAAGCATTTTCAATTTACTACAATTTACTTTTCAAATAGAGTATTTCTTCCCTGTAAATTTAATCGTTTTGAAGCTAACACAATTTTACAGTTGATAACATTCACAAATAATTTCCTTTATTTCTGAACACCTGAAAATGAGGTTAATTTTATAATAAACACTTCCTTTCTCTTACCATATTTTTGGGCATTCGTTTCTGAAAACATCAACTCAATACACAATGAGCAGGTATTTCTTAGATTTAATGTTATGGCTGAAATAGAGGAATTGTTTAATGTAAATCACAACTTGATTTATAGGACAGCATGAAACTGATAGCTCAGAAAGAAGTATCTTTAACTACCTTTCTAATACACTACCAATGTGCCACCTTCCAGGAAGTTTTAGCACCTCAGGTTAATTATTACAAAAGCAAAGGAAGGATCCAGCATTTGGGATCAATCTGTTTCATAGCAAACAATGACATAAAATTTGCATAATTCAGTGGAAGTAGGTGATAATCAAATTAAGTTACAGAGGGAGAATTATGTGAATGATAATAAGTCACCTTAGTCATCAAATTTTAGGTACAATAATAAATCTAATAACTACTTTATCATCAATTCATAAATGAAATATCTTAGCTTCAGTCTCCCACAGTACACAGATGCCAAGGAAGTAAAGTTCAAATCCTTTGCTGATTGCAATCCTCTCAGGAGATTCTGAAGGAACATTTAGAAATTCTGATATTAGTCCTTAGATCTTTCTCTGTTGGAAAGCATCCATCATGTCACTGGAAAACATGCAAGAATGCTTTTTCAGTCAGGCCATTCTTACAAATCTGCAGTACTTTTAAATTGATGACATTACAATGTTGCTGACACACTGTGCAACAGCAGGACAAGGTATGTTATATTCAAGGTACTCTGGGATGCTGCTCTCTTAAGATTAATGGTTTCAGCAGGAATACAGTCCAAAATGTGAAAAATATTAAGGAACTATTAACAAATCAAGTAAAGCTTGCATAAATTAAGAGCTTATATAATCTCTAGTTACGTTGCCTCTCCTCTTGTCTTTTTGAGCTCTGATGAGATGAAATCTGGTTTTGTGTGTTAGAAGCTAGCAGGTCCTTTCCATTTACAGAAAGAGTTTTAATGACAAGATACAAACTTGAAACCAAACTGAAAAACTTCATATTTAAGGAGACTCAATATTTTCCAAACATAGGATAGTTGGAGAATATTTCAAATACTTCCTTTTGAAAATGGACTCTTATATTTTTGTGATACTAATATCAACAGAATGATTGAATGGAAAGAGAGACAAACTTGACCACAAGTAGTAAGTGGTGTACCACACCTTTTTGATTTCTGATTTCAGTTTACAAGGATTGTTCTGCTGGCTGAAGAGGGACTTCTTGAATCTCTCAATGATTTTGCTTTTCAAGTTGCATGCACAAGTGGAGGAAGCTACATGAAACAAAGAAATACACTTTCACCATTCAGTTACACCTGCCATAAAAATGACCTATTCAGAAGTGCCATTACTGAGAAATGTAGCTACCCTGCAAAAAGAAACATGGATGTCTAATGGCGTGGTAATAAACAACAGTATAACACTTGATTTAATTGCACATTATAATAAGGCTCCTCTGTTTGCCTGTTCTGTTAGGCTTAGCTTGCCATGTAGCTCAGCTCCTCTAGTCTTGAAGCTAAACATCATTATTAGCCTAAAACTGGTAATACCAGATTTGCCTCCCTGATCAAAGTGCTAGTATTTGGGACATTTTTAATGTCTTAGCATCTTTTTATGTCTAGCATCTTACAGATGAAGCACATAGAACATTACACTAGATTTCATGTTGGCTATAATGAATCACTCCATCTGAAATTAATAAAGAAGCTTAGACCTTCATTGAATGTGCATAGACTGGCTTCAATGACCTCTTTTAAGGTCCTTATGGGTCTTAATACAATTCAGAGCACCCCTTTTGCTCTAAGCTTCCTCAGGGAGGTAATTTACCTTTCATTTGTTTAGAAAGCATAACTGATTTTACATACTTTTTCTTCCTGTATCCTTTTGGTTGAAAAAGAACACATCTTTCATCTATATTTAGAAAAAAAGAAAAAAAAAAAACCAAAAACCCAAACAAAAAACCCACAAATAATGTACTTAAAGTCTTCAATAAAGACTTTAAAATAATTTTTCCTTTAACATAATTTTTACATTCCAACACCAAATGTACAGTTTCAGCTGTTGGTAACTGCAATGACATCAACCCAGTCTGACAACAATTCTGTGGTATGTTATTATCCTTTTGAATTTATCTTCTATGTTGTTTCTGCATAGTTGCTTATACCTGCAGACACTGTTTGAAAAACGATTATTTTCTACCATTTATAATCATTTCATTGATGTAAATTCATGATGTACCACTCAACTGAATTCAGGAAGCTTTTTGACTTAGGAAGGGGTTGACCACTAATGATTCACATTCAAGCACTGCCACAGCAGACATTATAGAGACATTTATCCCACTGGAACAAATTACTGCTCTTAGACAGCCATAAATCCAGAATGCTTTTATTGGCCTCACAGGAGTCCTGATTTGCTCTGACAAACCAGGGATCAAAGTCACATGCTAAGCACAAAAGACTTCTCCAGTCAGCTGCTGGCATGCAGAGATTTTTTTTTTCTTACAGACAGATACTACACTTTTCCCATGCAGATAAGGCTTTACACATATGCTTTAAGTCAGAAGTTGAATGTTCCTTAGCCTATGAGAGAGTAAAAAAAAATCATGCCTTAGGAAAGGCTGACAACATGTTCTATGGATTACATACCACTGCAGAGTGCAGTTAATGTACCATGGGGATACTGGGATATTCTGAAGCAGAAATGGTAAAGAACAAGTCCAGTGCTTGAGAAACTTGGAGTTGCCTCAGGCACTAGTGTTCAATTTTAGCTTTTATTTTAATGAAATCAGTTGTCAGATCAGTTAAAAAAAAAAAAAAAAAGGCCAAGGATTTACATAATGCTTTTTAAAAAGCTTTCCCTTACATTGTTTTCCAGAGATCACTCTGATTCTTGTTCCCATGGAAACAGGAAGGTTGCTGGCAGCCAAGAACTAACAGGCAAGAACTCTTCCTTGCAAACTTCAGTTTAGAACTGTCAGCTGGAATACATAAGAGTTTGAGAAAACAGCTATGTATTATAAAAGATACTTGACCTTAGATTTGTAAAAACATAAACAAGTGCAAGGGAGGCATCTGGAACACAGAAACAAGTACAGGTAGATATTCTGGTTTCTCTGAAATCAGAGAAAAGCTGTTGCTACTGCTTCAGTGGTCAATTCTGAGCCAGTTTTTGAGTTGCTGTAAGTTCTCAGTTCTTGAGCATCTGCACTAGAATAATTAATATTAATTAGTAAGCCACTTGAGAAAACCTTCTTCAACAGAGAGAATAGGCTCACTAATGAGCACCTTGGACATACTCCTAAAATATCATGTAAAAACTGAACTGCCTCATTTCTGCTGATAGGAGAAGGATATAATTTCCAATTATTTTAAATAATGTCTGTTTCCTTTGTCTCTGATAATTTAATTATTGTATTACATGTTTTAATAAGCTTGAGAACTAAAAAGAAAAAAAAACCCAAACAAAAGAGAGACATGTAAAGCACACCAAGTTCAGTTATGTTATTGTGTTCTAAACAAAACCAAACAAATTTGGCTGATCAATCTCAAAAGCCCTGAGGTGATAAACATCACATCCCAAATGTAAACACTTCATTTTGGAAAATAAAAAGCTGTTTACTTAAATAGCAAATTTTTCAAATAGCTGAATGGTAGCCATCTTTCTGCAGAATAAAGATGTTCCAATCACATTTTTAGGTGAGAATTCAAGGCAGCTTTTGTATCAGCTCAGCTCCATTTTTGTTTTGGAATCAACATGAAATAACTTCAGCTCTGTCTAACTATGAAACAGATTAACTTAGTTTTGAAACAAGTCTTAAATTTGAAAAATATCTGACATTTCAAAATAGTTAACATATTCAGGATTTCATCTATTGCACTAAAAATCCCAAGAGAGTATTACTATGTACTGATAACTAAAATACAATTTCAAAGTTATTTCAAAACTATCACTACAGAGGAAAGCATTTTATTGACTCTCCAGGTCAGTATATGATATTGTCACCTTAAGTAGTCATATCACTGGTATGACAGAATGTTGTAAAAATACTTTACTGTACAATCAATTTTTCTGAGGTGAGCTACAGCTTTTTTTTTTTCATATGACTCAATTATTGCCATCCTCCACATACTAATATTCAAAGTTAGTCTTTATTTTAATGATATATTTTTAAATCATCCTGCCATCTGCAAAAATGTCAAGTTCTGTTGTTTTTAAAGAACAGTAACTAAATTAGCAGCACTTTGCAGTAACATCATTTTGACAACAGCAAATGACTAAAAAGTACAGAATGTCAGAAGCAACAATAATGCATACATGAGTGCTGAAGATAATTTTGTGCAGCTGAACAAGAACCTGCTGAACAGGGTCACTGATCTCATGCACCTTCCTTTGTGATACAGCAATTCCTGCCACCGCTGTAGATGGCAAGAGTGAAATCAGGAGGGCAGCTCATTTTTTTGCCTTAGCACATTAATGGCATACAATGTTTAAAACCTGTAGATGTAAATAGCAAGTTGAAATGCTTGATTTGTTTTCCCAATAATGCTGGGAACAAAAAAAGGATAATCTAAAACGTTAAAAATTTAGACAATGTAAGTGACAGTGTGTTTCAAAAGAAAATCCCTTTCTCTGAATCACTAAATTACTCCATGAGAGAAGCAGTATTAATGTACTTCAACAATTGTTAAAATTTTGTCACATTTATTCGAAAGGATAAATATATGACAAACATAATTTTCTTAACTGATTTTTTTTACATAGACTAACCCAATATATTTTTTATATATTTTGATGTTATTTAATTTATTTTCATTCTTCCCTAAGCATTACAATAATATATCTGACATAGAGTATTTCAATGAGGTAAATCTATTGTTTAGGATTTTTAATCTTGTGTATTAAAGTCATACACATTGTCAGGCCCAGAGATTAAATAAAAGTTTATCAGCAGACTTCCACTATAAAACATTGCATCACAAAAGAAGATTAGTTCACAAAACAATCTTTCCAAGATGACCATTAGACCTCGGAGTAAGTGAAGAGCTTTGGCCAAAGTACTGAACTTCAGCCAGCAGCCCTGTACCTCTCCTAAATACAATTTTCTCTAAACCACACTTCAGAGACTAATTTAGATATTCTAACATTTACTCTCACACAAACACCCTGAGGATCATCAAGTCTTATGTATAAATTTACAACCACAGAAAATTTTCTTTTTTTTTTTTTTTTCCCGATGTGATCTTATGTCAAGATTAAAAATTCTACTGAGAGGGTGATGAAATCCAAATACCAACATTAACTAGTCCACAACAGAACTATTACCACTTTTTTACTGATGAATTTCTGTGCTAGCTACTTTAATAAGAAGAAAGATATTCACAGATATTAGTGCCTGAAGATCATCCAAATCTAAACTATGCTCTCACAGAAATAAAGCGATGCAGATAAACATCCTTCTCTACCACAGGGAGACACATTTCTAGTAGGATCAGGAAGACAATATCATTGATATTGCTGGGGTTTTTTGTTGCACTGCCTTTTGGCAGATGTCTTGAGAAAGCCAAGTGAAATTCAGTTTGACATATTTTTCCCTAGGTCTTCTCTTAATAATCAGTAAGAGGAAAAAAAGCTTTGCACTTCCTCTGAGTCACTTAAAGAAGAATTTCCTTACATTGGTTCCGCTCAAGGTGACAGTGGAAGCCATGCTATAATAATCTAAAATACATGCCACAAGAAGAAAAATTTTGATTTAGTTCTTTTTGCTTCATTTCCTCATCTCTGCCAACTGTTTTAATACTGCTGTATTCAAGGCCCAAAAGAACTCAGTGCTGTCTTACCATTATAGCCTTAAAATCTTCAGTTATGTTAAGGACACTCATAAAGGCTTTACTTCTTTGACATGTTCCCTTTTTCACTGCTCCCTGTTCTCTGATATTTGTCTCATCTTTTCCTGTCAATGGCTTGTATTACAAACCAAAAGTAAATCAATCAGGGCCTTTCCTTTTGCAGGTCTTAAATTATTTTTTTTCCTGGATAGAAATATGTTTAGAATGATAACAGCAAACAGCAAAGACCAAGAAGGATATAATTTGGATTTCTCTGTTATTCAACTTATGGAGCTTTTTCTCTTTTCTAGTATGACAGCAACAATATGACTTAAAAGTCTAGGAGGACCAGATTTAATGTCTACTTGTAGTATCTGTGTCCTTCAAAGACTTTAGGAGTTCCACTCCAGACCACTCCAAGTTTCTTGTTTGGTTGGTTTGTTTTTTTTTTCAAACACAGAAGTACAGCATTATTTGGAAGATGAGGGTACATTTGTGAAATAGGCTGCTGAAGACTTCACCAAAGCTTTTAAGACTTTTATCCAAAAGGAAAACATCACTTGCAAAAGATAATGGATTTACTCAATTTACTCACAGAACTGAAAATATCAACAAAGGCTAAAGTATTTTTCTGTAGAACATTATAGCTTGCAGACATTATGTTTAAACTGAGTTGTTATTATATGGTACCCTTTAGCAAACAGTACTGAAACTACAGAAGGCTGAGATCAAATTTGGATTTGTATTCCATAATTGAAATTCTTAATACAGTTTTTATATTAAAATCTGTAAAATAGAACTTAGTACAGACAAAAAGCACTCTTTTTTTGAAGATCACTATGTTAACTGATCAAAATAATTTTATTTCAGATATTATTTAACTCAGACAATATGCATTCTGAAATCACAGCTTCACAGAGTGTGAAGCTTCTCAGTAAAAGGAAAAGTACTTCAAATGGAAAATTTGTTTCATCAATCATGATGCATAAATACATGATAATTTGCAAGGGCTGTATGAAATATTCATTTTACAGGAGAATTTCCCATTTCATTCTGCAGAAGTTTAACTGGGATAATGACAATTAATATGAGATCTTACTGATTCACTATTGGAATTCATATTTTTAAGAAGTACCTTAATGATACTTCAGATAACATATTTCTATATAAAATGTAATTATCTCTTTTTCTAACATTTAAAAATACAATTATAAATAAAACCATGATGTTTCACATTGCAAAGAGCTACAATTTGCAGACTATGAAACTGCCATCTCATCATGAACAAACACTTGATTTTCTTAGTGTGGGAACCATGGATGAGTGAAGGTTCTCTTAAAAGCAGATCAATAGGCAATAAAGAGGAAGAAATAAAAGAGGAAACACTCTATATGCAACAGGAGAATAATGTAATCATGTTCCAAAACTTGAAAATTGTTAGGTTTAATTTAAGTTAAAGTTTGAATTTCTTGCAAGTACAAAATTACCTGATCACAGTCTTGATCCAGAACCATCAACATAATCCATCATTATTAAAAAAAAAAAAAAAAAAAAAGAAAAAAGTTTTAATTGTGGTTGGCATCAAAGATTGCAGAGAAACTATCAGTATTCCCTGACTCCTTCTCATGTTTCCTCTAAGGGAAATCTGTCCAAATTCACTAGCTTACAACTGTGCATTTTTAAAGGTTGGTTTACTATGCATGTCCAAAATAGAATGACTTTTACTAAATAAATGTTTCTTTCCTTGGTCAGTACTAGTGAAGTGGGGAAAAAATTGGTATTACAACACCAGGATAGCAATCTCTCAATGTCAGAAATAGACGTCTACATGTTTCGATGCTAGATCCTTCTCTAAACTCTGGACAAATACTTTCCCAGCTTGCAGATTTCACTAGCTGAGATAAGCAATAACAAATGGGCACAGACACCAGGGAACTGAAAGAACAAATGTGCTGTCCTGACGGATGGCAGCCGCGATAGCCTGAGTACAGCAAGAATTTTTATCTATTTTTTGTGGCAGTAGGGAAAACCACAGTTTCAAGGAGTAGTTACAAATTAAGACAAGGAAATAGTTTTGCTGATGATTATGTGAGGGGCAGAGATTTGTATAGCAGTGAATTTCTACAAAGAGAAAGAAAATGTGCCTTCTTAAACACTCAAGCACGGGGAGGCTGCAACAGGACTGCAAGCATGGGGCGGACTGCAAAAGATGTAAGGTTAGGAAGGGATAAAGGTCAGACTGGACGGTCTATGGTTATGCTAAGAATAATTAAGAATGGTTATGCTAAGAATCATTTTGAAAGCAAAAATAAAATATTGCACTTGACTCAAACAGGGTCTGTGGAGAAACACAGGAAAAGAATCCATGCTATCATTATAAACACTTACCTAGCTAAGTTAAAGGTAAAATAAAAGAATTTGTTTGGGAGTCAGATGCAGCCAAGAGTGATTTTGAGAGTCTTTTTCCAGATATGGAAGAAAAGCAGGAATGAAGAAAAAATTAACAGCATTTCTTAATAAGGGTGTTGCCAAAGTGATCAGAAAAAATAATGGTCAAGAATGTGTTTGATGCATTACTGAAGAAAAAGGAAGATCTTTAGAAGAGGGATGGTGTGAAATATTCTGCTTCTGTTTGCTTCCTTTTTGAAGAAATGAGGCCTCCAAAATGCAAGAAATGGGTGTTTATGCTTACACAGAAAGACCAGAGGAGTTCAAGGGACAAGATACTACTCTACACTACTACAACATACTATCAAATACACAAACACCATTTTCTATGGAAAAACATCTGTTTAAAAAATAAAACCAGAATTTGGTTAATCAACTGATGTCAGTTTACGTTTCAGTAGCAAGGTCCATTGTTAAAACTATCACGTAAAGCTTTTGTGTGCAAACACCCTCTAACAATATCCTCAAGCAGAATTAGTGTCCTAGGCTGAGGTAAAATGAAGTCGTAACGTTAACCAAGGACGTGTTTCACAAGGAACTTGAGGAACTGTTCCACTGTGAAACAACCAACCAGAATTGATAGTAGTAATGATCAATTACATTTAAATCATAAATTACACCTACCTTATCTGAGGCTGTCTTTCAGAAGCACTAAAACTTTGTTTAATTATACCTGAAACAACACATCAATATTATTTTCTGTTTAAAAGAAATGTACAACATGTATGTTAATATTTTCTATTCCCAGACATATATGTTAATATTTTATTTTACAAAACAGCATTAAACAAACTCCAAATCCTCACTTGACTATCAAGTTGCTGTTTGATGTATCAAAAATTTGCTTGCATCATAACAAAAATCTCAGGCTGACAGAGTATTTTAATAAATTATGTCAGAAAATTGTTACAGAAAGTAACAACATAAGCTGACTAGATGTCCACAGAATATGTACCTGGATATGCATTAAATTGTTACAGTTACTGCTAGCACTATAGCCACAACATTGTCTCTAGTCTGGATAAAGAGAGGGAATATTTGCCCATGTTCTTAGAGGTTCACTAGATATTTACTGCCACCATTCCATTCCATTGCTATCTATAGGCAATAACACATACATTTCTTCTTCTTAAATAATCCTACTGAAGCCAAGACCTTGAAGATAGCAGTATGACCAGTTATTGGGCCAACATCTAATCAGCAATAAAACTGAATGTAAACATTGAAATAATTTATTGCATACTGCTAAAAAATGTGTAGAAGGAAAGCTAATGTTTGATGACATCTATTATTCATGTGCTTGGAAAGCATTGTCTTAAAGCAAATATTAGTCTTAAGAATTTGTCTTAAATCATTCCTGTAAAACCATTCTTTTGATGGTAATTTGCATGGTAATTTGAGACCACCCTGGTATCTCATTTTGATTGAGTGTATGTTTAATGAAAAGATAATTCTGCTAACTGAAAGTCTGAGTAGCAAGATTAGGATATTCTTACAATTTTCACATACAATTAATGTATTTTAATACAAGGCCTGCATCTTTGTCTACATAAGATCTTTTGCCCACACTAGTAACATCATAAACATTATCACTAAACAAGAACAGAGGCACGTAATCACTCAAACAGCAGATAAGAAAAAAAAAGGATGTTATGTCAAACTTAAACTAGTTTTCCCATTGTTGGTCTTGTTACAGCAGTTATATTATTTCTTGAACAACTGTAGAGCAAACATATTTTTGAGAGTCTTGGGTCTTTTCATGTTCAAACATACTTTTGTGTTGGACTCTGAAATATTTTTCCTACTTTTCTGAGATCCTCTAAATTTAAAAAAAAAATCTGAAGGAGGCTTTCATCTGTCAAACTGAATTCACTTTAAAACCAAAAGAAATTATATATCTTTAGGCCAAATCCATCTTCCTTAAAAGGAGACACAGAGACAGAGAGAGAATGAAAGAGAAATAAACAACATTTTAATCTTTGCTGATACTTTGCTTAGCAAAACAGACACCACAATTCTGTGGGAGCTAGAACAAAAGACTATTTTATAAGAGTAGCTAAACTACATAAGAGCAAATAAACTAGGCCCTCATAGAAGCAAAAGTTCTTCAATTAACTTTGTTAATGAGACAGAAAAATAGAAAAAGAGAGGGCCCGTGGCCTAGAAAGTAAAGGAAATGAAAAATATTATTGTGCCTCTTCAATGAACAGCTATCTTACCTGCTTAGGACGCAGACACAATAACACAAACACAAAAGTAGAAGCTCTGAGTGAATGTGAGTCATGTTGCTTGGGGTAAGGATTTTGAGTTGCAACCTCAGACACCCTGTCACAACAAATACCATAATATATTGTGTGAATGTATGCAAGAAAATCTGTAACTAAAACCACTTGGCTAGAAAGCTAAAACTGAACACAGATGTTTGCTATAATTTTATAAAAAATAACCCCCCTTTTCAAGTATTTATATACAAAATTTGGTTTGAAATATTTCACCCTTTGGCAGATGCAGATAAATGGTCTCTTATCAGTAAAGGGTTCATATCCAAATTTGTTTGATCAGTTTGATGACTCACCCCATTTGACTTGCTAATCTGCCATCTTATGAGTGTATTTACAAGTGCATGATATTTCACACCAAAGAGTCTGTCTCACCACTGACAGTACACAGCAGAGATGCAATATTTTCTGATTCATATGCTAAATTTAGGAAAATACTTATTAATGCTAAAAACCAAAACCCCAAAGATGATGAACATCACTAAACAACAGCAAACACCCTTCAGGCCTATATTTATTGCTTATTATTATGCTAGAGACATACTGATCAGCTAGACCTGAGAGAGGAATCTCATTACGTTACTCACTATGAGAACACAGGAAAATAATTTACTTAATAACTAAACACAAGGAGACTCAAACACATCAAAATCACTGTAACAAACACACTCACGTGTGTACCCACACATTCAAGGAACACTAATGACTTTATTCATAATCCCCAGTCTTCTGTGTATGAGTTATGCTAATCATACAAAGCCAGTCAGGGAGTAAGAAACAGCACAGATGCGCAGGCAAGTTAACTCACATAAGTCATGGAGCACACAGTGTATCTGGATGTTCAGCTCAGGGTTTCCTGGACCATATTTCCTTTTACCATGGCTACTCCTTTGACACGGATAGGAAGAGCAAGGCAATATGTTCTGTTCAAATGCCTTGCAAGAGGGCATTTTTCAGCTCAAGACAATCTCAAGGAAAATGAAATACAAAGCCTCCATCTCTTTCCTGTTTTGTGCCCACTCTTGTTAGAATGTGAAAGACATGCAAAAGCCAAAGCTTTTAATTCTCATCAGCCTCCCTGTTCCGAATAGCTCTATGCAGATTCCTTGAGGACATTTAAAAAAGTATCAAATGAGGCATAAATAATTTCTCTGACTCCTACTTTGGTCTTTAGCAGCTGATGTAATTAGAGCAACTTCTAAGACTAACTTCTTAACATGCATCAACATCAGTAAAAATGATACAAATACATTTAATATGAAGTTTAGTGCTCTTGCAGGCACCTAAACAGGCAATTGCAAGGAAAGAGCTGGCAACATGATATGAGATCAGAAAAACCTGAGAAGATAGTAACTTTTGCTTTGGCTTTAACTTTCACTTCAACGGTATTTAAAAAACAAAGCCTCTGAAAACCTTTCCAAGTTTGATCAGACTGGCAGGAAAATAGAATTAAGATTTTGCATTAGCAGAGAACTTCAGTACATCTCCTTGAATGAAATGGAAGCAGAATGGTTTTTTGAAAGACAGCTCAACAATCTTTTTAGAAGTAAGGTGAAATTCAAAATACTCTTGGTAAGCTGCCCTTCAGATCACTATACACTGGAACAGACAATCCCAACCAGGATAATTAAGCTGTTTCGCAAAGCAAAAAACGATGTTTTTTCTTGCTAGCAGTGATTCCATGTGCAGCAACAGAAGCTGACATAAACATACTTCACACTTAACTCAGGCACCATATAGGAAAACCAGGTCTTGGCTGATGTCTTCAACACCATCCCATTAGTCTGAGGTCTCAAGAGAAACTTGCATCTTAGACAAATCAAGAAAAGCAAGCCTACAAAACACTAAGGCCTCCAAAGTTCTTCACAGACAGCCCATTGTGCAAATTCTAAGTTTATTGGTGCAGTAATAATTTTTAAGAAATTCCCTAAACTTTCTCCTCACAATCTGAAAACCAGAAAATCATATATAGCAGACGTCAGACAATCTTATTCCAAACACTTACCAAACTATCTAGTCATTTTATCTAAAGAAGAAATGTCTTCTCAAGTCACCAAATCCATCAAATACAACTGGTCTTTATTAAAAAAAACAAACAAACAAACAAACAAACAAACAAAAAACCCAACAAGGCTCATCTCTATGACCACAGAACTTTTAAGATATAAGGTAGCTGTCTGCAATATAGCGCAAATTACAGGCTCCAGAAAACAAATTACATTACTGAATGGGGGCTTATTTCATAATGTGTTTCTTGGTATCCTCAAAAGTAGTTAAATTTGGAGTTAAGTGATGACCTAAAGTCATTACCTAAGTGATGAGCCAAATCACTTGCTACATAAAACACCGAGTTCCTATTTTGAGAGTATCCTAGTTCTAGAAATCCCCAATTATTCAACTGGATATGGGCATTACCTGCACAAGACTCAAGTCCTGTCACTGTGTAAACCAGTTGCATTTCTCAAAGAAAGTTATAGGAGACCCTTTTAGAGTTACATCACTAGAATATTTTTCAGGCACATCTGTGGTATCTTCATTACATGGTAACTTTGACTACTATTAGAGGAAAGGCATCCTGAATATCAGTGTCTTTGCTTATTGGTCACAAGATATACAAGTGCAGAGATTCCTCCAAATAGTGGAAGCATAAATGAAATTATGAGGTAGGAGAAAAACTTTTAAACAAGATACAGCTGCACAACAGGACTGTGTTTTGATACTTCCTAATCTCTTGAAAAGGCTGAGCAATTCTGAAAAAAAAATCTATTGCATGCTACCTCTATATTGGGAGGAAGGTTAGGAGTACATAAAGCCTTAGACCAGCATTTTCTAATGGCAGGTTTTACACAGAATTGTCTTTCAATGTATTTAGGACACTGTCCTGGTTGTGATGAAAATGAACATGATTAAGGGAAACAAAAAGTATTGTCCAAAAGAGCATTCCCAGACAAAAAGTAAATTTTTCCAGTCTCACCCAGCTGACACACCAGCTCTACTAGACTACTATAGCAGTCTACTAGACATATCACATCTTTTCCCGCTGTTTGGTTTTACCAACAGAAGTGAAGGTATAGTTACACTGTAAACCAAATGTAAGTAAAAACCCTTTAATATGACTAAGCTAAGGTAAAGTTGGGAACCTTGTAATTTTAAGCTAAGAAAAAAAGTGCAACTAATAAACTGTTACCATCCCATCATTCTTCACAGCTTTTTGACTCAGTATGTCCATATCCTCTGTCAATCTCCATAATTTGAAATTATAATTACTTCAGGAAAAGAAAAATGCATCTGTCACTGCTGTCTCTATGCTTCTGAAATGAGCAGAATCTTGTTCCTGTAGGATTAATCATTTCAAGTACCAGGAGCAACTATTTCAGAATCTACACACCCTGCACTTGGCAATCTTGTTGAAGGAGCTGGTCTTGTAGAAATACATTGTCTATAAATTCTATACTAAGAAGAATAATCCTTTTTTTAAAGCATAATTGAAAACACTGACTATGCAAAGTCGTTAAAAATATTATGACAATATGGGACTATAAAAAAAGCTTCCCCCTATTACACTGACAAATCCATACCAGCTTCTGTGCTACTGAACATCTCAGCATGTCACACCTCTTTGCAAAATACCACCCTAGATTCAAATTAGAATGATCATGTTTTCTCTGAGAATGATGTGATAACAGCACGATTAGACAAATCCTTTCACGATTCTCATCAATATACCTGAAACTAAAACTCTCATCTTCATGTTAGCAATTTCCAGGTTAGCTAGATCAAAGTTGGCCACATTTTCCCCTGTAATGAGGACATGCTTGACAAAACCATGGCTGATAATTCAAACTCTGTTAGCCACTTATTATTGATGAATGGAACATTTCACAAGCAATACCCAATTTTCCTGAATTTATAATTTTTTTTTAAGTTCTCTTTTCTTTACCTCTGAAAAGTAGAAACATTTTCCAGCATTAATTACAACTGATCTATAACACTGACTTCAACACGAAGTAGAAACTACAGCTGATCTAAGAATGTAAGACTACAGAGTTATTTTCCTGAAAAAAGCAATCCTGAAGTATCTATATAATAATTAGACTCTATGCAAGGAGAAAAATGGATGACTTCTAGAAATGCTGATTATAAGCTACTGGGACTCATAAGAACTGATGGGATCTTTCCACATAAAACATTTCATTAAAATTATGGCAATATGGCATGGCAACATTCAAATATTAGAAAAAGCTGATATTTTGTTAATGTCGAAATCTTAACAAAGAAAAATTAACTACAAGGAAATCATTACCACTAATGCTTTGGGTGTGGTGAGTTACAAACTACAGAAAGGCTTCAAATTTCTGTGCCCAATGCTGAACTAGCCCACAAAGAATTACATTCCTGTGATATACACAATGTGTTATTCTTCAGTGTGAGCACAGAACAGAACTTTGTCCCTGGAAGCTGCTTTTTCTCAAGGGCTTCATTCTATGCAGCCCCTTCCCACAGTTATTCAAGGCTTCCTCTATCCTGCAGCCTTCTCTTCTTAGGCTCTTAGTACAAGAAAGTGGCCATAAAAAAGTGCTTTCTAAAATTATCATTTTTTGAGAAAACTTTGACAATAATCTCAGGGCTGGCTAGTCACAGGTCCTCCAGCCTTCAGAACGGCAAGCTATCCAGTTACAATTAGCAAATCATTTTAAGTAGAATTACCAAATCATTATTTGCCCTGCACTAATGACTTCAGTAAAAAGAGGTCATCAAAGCACTTCAAAAGAGCTCTTCAGTACCTGGGCCACAATATGAAATAAAATCTAGCTACCAAAGAGGATTACAAACAAATAATGTTATTCTAGTTTTTTTTGAAGCCTGGGGCATTTGCAGCAATGTTTTCTAATCTTCAGAAAACTACATTCCTTTTACCTTTTAAAAGTACATCTAAATCATCCCCATATTTTATTAATGGAAGTCTTAAATTTTGCTTAACTCTAACACCCATATCTTTTTTTTTTCTAGTATAAAATGCACTTTGATTTCACTAATCAGAATCCCACTGCATTTAATAGGTAGGTCATGGTAGCTCACAATCTAGCAAGTAAACTCATAGTGCTTAGTGCTAGGGATTTTTGAGTTGATTTTTTTTTTAATTTTCAAATTGAAATATAATCCAAAAAATCTGTCACTTAAGATAACACCCAACACAGCTGGTGTTTTCCAATTTGATTACCATAAATAACTATAAGCAGAATTAATGCTGTGTTTTGTCACATAATTCTGTCCTAATTAAAATCTGCACATTCCTTCAGTTCCATTCAGTCAGTTCTTCCAGACAGCTAAAGCCTGCCTCTTTCAACTTTCTTCTTCACACTCTTCCATCTGTTTCTTGTCAATATTAGTCATCTTATGTTTAAATTAAAAACCACCTTCTTTCTCAAGAAGCCCAATAACATTCCAGTTTTCATAGTTGCTACTGCAAAATATGGGGACAAGCTGCACAAAGTCCTGGTGATACCAAGTGTACGAAACTGGACATGGCTGTCACAGAGGCACAGTGATTTTCTTAGGTAACAACAGACTGTGAACTTGGGACAAATAAAGAAATACCCTCATATATTGGACTAAACAACTGCTTTACTGTTACAAAGTTGTGTACATTTCATTCTTGAAGAATCTTACCAATAGCAGGCTCTTCCAAATTACTCAAACTGGAGCTGCTTTAATTGTCCACTATGTCTACCTCATTGTCATTCAGAGAAATACCTGCATATACAAAGGAAAACAAAGATTTTAACCCACCTCTGACCAGCATGATAGCACCTGATGCTTCTTTTGCTAATGTCTACCTTTCTCCATAGTCCTGTAATCCTCTACCAGGATTGTTTCATATGTTCTTTCCTCACCTTTTCCATGTGCAGACTGACAACTGTCAACTGGAAGGTCAGTATTTTCTGAAAATTCACTTTTGCAACTGGCTGGTCCACTGCTGCTAAAATGCAGACTCAACTTATCATTTTTCTGACAAGAAAGAACAAAAACACAATGTTAGATATTGTTCTTTTCCAACACTCACTAGAAAATCCAAAAACTGAAGTGTCACTTGTGCATACACACATAAAACTAGACTTAGCTGTTAGTCCAGGACTGCACAGTACCTGGTTCAGTTACTGATTCTAAATTTAGAGCAAGACTTTCAAACTCTGAAACTAAACAAATTATTTCTATCCTTCACATATAAGGCTTTGTTCTTGATGACAGTCTTTTCACAACAAGCACTGAAAGTGAGAAAAATGAAACAAATGACAGAGCAGAAGCAAATACTGAACAAAGGAAAAAGAACAGACTGGACAAAGATAGTAGGTTCCCAGGGACAAGCACTGGTAGATTTGCCTTCTTTCATCTTAGATTACAAACAGCAATCCTGGAGCAGTTCTGGATAAATAAAACCTGCGTAACAGTCAAGGTACTAGTAAAATATGAAGTGAACTTCAAATGATGTTGTCATGGTTTGACACTGCCCCAGTGTCAGGCACCCACAAGAGATGCTCACCCACCCTCCCCTGTCACAGCTGGGCAAAAGAGGAACAAGGAAAACAAAGTTAATGAAGGCTTCATGAGTGAGATAAGGACTGGGAGAAATATTTCAAGGGCAAATCAGGACCAACTTTAGGTGTAAAGTGAAGTTTATTGCTAACAGAATCAGAGGAGGATAATGAGAGGTAAAATAAGGCCTTAAAACACCATTTCCCCCCAGCCCCTCCCTCCTTCCCACCAACAGTGCAGGGAGACAGGGCCTGGGAATTTTGGTCAGTCCATCACCGAGATTTTCTTCCACTGCTCTGGAAGAGGAGTCCTTCCCCTCTGAGGCCATGAGGTCTCTCCCACTGGAGACAGTACTCCATGAACTTCTCTGGTGTGTGTCCACTCTCATGAGCAGTAGCCAAACTGCACGTGCTGCAACTTGAGTCCATCCCATGGGCACACAGTCCTCCCAAAACTGCTGCAACATGGGTCACTCTTCCACAGGGTGCAGATCTCCAAGGACAGGCTGCTTCAGCCTGGATGCCAGGCCCCCTCTCCACCAGGTCTTCCACTGGATCACAGCCTCCTCCAGGCATCCACCCACTCCCCCATGGGCTGTGGGTGGATCTCTGCATCCCCCATGGATCCCCATGGGTTGCAGGGGCACAGCTGCTTCACCATGGTCATCATCAGGGCCTGCAGAGGAATTTTGGCTCTGGCACCTGGAGCACCTCCTCCCCTCCTTCTCCACTGACCTTGGTGTCCCCATGTTGTTTCCCTCATGCATTCTCACCTCCTCATCTTCACTGACTAGAAACAAAACCCATAATTTTGTTTTGATTTTCTTTTTAAATATGTCATCACAGAGGAGTTACCAGCCTCTCTCACTGGCCCTGCTTTGGCCAGCATCATGTCCATCTTCCATTGGCTCTGCTGGACATGGTGGAAGGGGCCTGCAGAGGAATTTTGGCTCTGGCACCTGGAGCACCTCCTCCCCTCCTTCTCCACTGACCTTGGTGTCCCCATGTTGTTTCCATCATGCATTCTCACCTCCTCATATTCACTGACTAGAAACAAAACCCATAATTTTGTTTTGATTTTCTTTTTAAATATGTCATCACAGAGGAGTTCCCAGCCTCTCTCACTGGCCCTGCTTTGGCCAGCATCATGTCCATCTTCCATTGGCTCTGCTGGACATGGTGGAAGCTTCCAGCAGCTTCCCACAGGATCCATCTTTGTGGCCTCCCTGCTACCTAAAACCAGGCTGTGCCAAACCAGTACAGATGTGATGCCAGAGAGACACAGAGGCTGAAATGACCAAATCCTACTGGCATTATCAAAGCAGAGCTACAAAAATCAAATAATGGAATACAAATTATTTTCTTGTAACATTTAAGTGCCGCATCTTGTTTGTTATCTGATGCATATAAAATTCTGCCCCTGCTGCTGTCGATGTTTATAGTTTTTCTGGAATAAATAGAAATCCCTAGTCCCTGCTATTGCTTCTATTTTCATGTAACATATTTTGAAGGAAGACTTTTTATACTCTTCTACTGATCCAAATCTTCACATATTATTTGTTATTTCTGTTGTGTGTAAATAAATTCATGTTTCTTTTTACTCCATCTTGTCAAAGTAAAGCATGACAAAGGAGGACAGGAGATAAATTATATAAATATATCAGATTAAACAAATTAGTATCTTTAATATTAATTTCAGAAGATAATACATTCCTAAATACTTATATTCTATAAGTATTCTCCATATTCTATATATTCTATATATACCGAGTCTGCATAAGACAAATTGTTCTGTGTGTAAGACAACATTCTTTTAAAGTTTTTCCCATGAAGTGTTTTGACTTTATTAGGACACAGCAGAGTGAATGCACTAGAAACTTTCTACTCAGAAACTTCACTGCCTCCCTGAGCATTGACTATACATACCACTGCCTACATAATGATCTGCTTCAACAATCTTCCCATCCTTTGTTCTAGTCCCAAATCTATAACCAACAGATGACTTGTTAAGGTTTTCTCTTTAAATTCAGGTGGAAAAAGGTCATTTTATACTTCAGTATTGGATGGAGGTTATGTCCAAAATGCCACAATAGCAGTGACTGTAGTGTAGCACGGCAAGAAAACCACTTACGATGACTCTCAAGCTGACCTGAAAAGAGCACTCCAGTCCTGGCACACATGAACACACTTCTCATGCCCTGAACAGTCAGTGCAGTTACTGAAGAGAACCAGTTCACCTGCTCCACATCAAAGGAATCAAAGCAAAGACAGAGAAGGGTCAAAATGCATGGACATTTCAAACTTAAATCTCCTTTCAACATTTTCAGTATTGAACCTCAAACTCAAAAGACTCATTGTTAACAATAACTTGTAAATCAGGCAGAGCTGAGGGGTGGAAAAAGACCAAAAAGACAGCTGATACCAACTGGTGCCAGATCTCACTGTCCATTAAGAAAGGAAACCTGTTTGAAGTGTCTGAATGGAATTGCATAGACCTCAGCCTGAAAATAATGGACAGACCTACTACAGAAACTCTTAAAATATCAGTGGAACATATCCTAAAGTGTTAAAGCAGTTATATAAACTGTAAAGCTATAACCTGTCTAGAAAAAATCTGGTCCATTTACATAGCACTTGTACCTAGAAAACTATAGTGTTCTATTACTAATCTGAGAATAATAAATAAATTTGCTGTGACATAGCTTACTCCATCTAGAAAATATCTAATAATTTTAAAAAGTGATAATATGTACCTTTTTTCCCTTTTTAGTAGGACACTGGCTGATTTAGAAGAGTACCCTGACTAGAAGAGGATGGGATGCAAGTTCAATGTCTCTTTTGCTCACCACAGCAGAGGGACCAAATTAGCCTACATAAGGATATAAGGTTATAAAGAACATTATTTTTTGGTAAGTTCATGGAGAAAAGTGTACTCCAACACATAGAAACGATCATTTTCATATACCTTGAAGTCTCAGAGAGACTTCTTTCAGATAAGGTGAAAGACAGATACTTATCTGTCTATGAAACTGGAATATTCAAAATATCCCAAACATTGAAAAAGGAATTAGGTTGATATTTATTCATTTGAACTGTGCTCATACCTACCCTTGATTCCAGAGTCCAGTATTTTACCAATCTCTCTGGAGTCTCCATCAGTTGATATAGTTTATTTTCACATTCTCCTTATAACTAGTGCCTCAGTTTTCCCATTCACCAGATTAATTGTTGAAACAAATTCTGCCTTCATGTATAAAAAACACAGTTAGAAAGGAAAGCTAAGGGTAAAAGTCTCCCACAAAAAAATGTTCAAATGATGAACCAATTAACATTTTTTTCCAGCATTCATCTACTGTTATTACTGAGCAAAAGCACCTCTGGAAATTTGTATCCCAGCCATGAAGAAAACTTCTGTCTTCATTAAGATCCTTATACTTGCACTGTCTATCTCTTCATTGGCAACTATCAACACTGTAAAATCGAGATATACTTTGTTTTTGGAAAAGTGAAACCTGAATTGTGGGTTTTGTCTTCCAAAGGGAATCTAAAAGTTGTTAGAGTAAGAAAAAAAAAAAAGTAGATTGAAATAAAATAAAAATACTGATCTTTTATTTAGCCCTGTTTGTTATCCAGAAGAATTAACTTTTCTGTCTTCATGAAATATAGAACTCTCTAGTGGCATTTGCAAAAAGCATTTAATTAATCTTCTTTATTAGAGACATTTACAATTACAGCATTATGCTGTCAATTGAATTTATATTTAAAAAAAACCCAAAACAAATAAACAAAAAAACCCTACAACCTATTTCCACTGGTAAACTACCAATAAAAAAAGTAATATATAACAGGAAATTGGCAGGGAAAAAAACCAGGCTAAACCAATATATCTTTTTCAGTAAGATGGTAACAGCTCCTGTGCTTTAGGAAGAAGAATTAGATGTTACATATGTGGGTTTTAGCAAGGTCTTTGACAATGTTTTTCATAAGGTCCTAGAAGAAAGCTAGGAAGTGTGAGCTAGACAAAATCACAATCAGTTGGCTGAATAATTGACCATAAAAACTGTACTCAACTTGGTAACTGAAAATGGGTAGCAAGCACAATTTATCAGACTCCTTTTTGACCTTGCTCCAAAAGTACTCAATGTTGTCACTGAATTACAGTGACAATCTGCATAATGGATAGACAGAGCGCCTATTAAAGGTGCCCAGACTGTGATACATTCACATCATACATCATATTGCAGCATATACATCATGCACAGAGCTGTGCCAATGAAAGTGACAACTGGTGTCAAAGATAGTTTTCAGAAACTGGACAAACTAAAAGAACTGATGAAGTTTAAGTAGGGAAGATGCAAAGTTCTGTGAGCAAGAAGAAACAACCATACAACTGCACAGACTAGAGAAGGACTGGTGACAGAAGCTCTGCAGCAAAAGACTTGGGGATTTTGCTGAATCAGAAACAGAATATGATGC